ATTAAGATATATTATAATTATTCATGCTATATGTAGTTTTTTCTAATCCTTCAAGTAATTTAAATTTTATTTTTGGATTAAAATATGTTATAATTATTCATGCTATATGTAATTTTTAAAATTTTCTTTTATTTGTTCGAGTATTTAAAATTTTATTTTTTAAGTAAAATATATTATAATTATTCATCTTATATGTAGTCTCTAAAATTTTCAGCTTACTAATACTTGATTTCTATTAGACTAACACAATAATTGATTAAAAATTATTATTTCTTTCCTTATATAATTTTATATTTTTAATATATTATTATTTATTATATTTTAATTACTCAATGCTAATGATTAGATGTTTTGATTATAATTCCTTGATGTTATATTTTAAAATTAAGAAAATAGGTTTGGATATGAATTGACATAAGTCAGGAAGTTAAGTCCAACACTCAAGCTAGACTCAACCAATAAGTTAGGCTAGCTCGACTCAGCCCTAAATGGCGTAAGCATGTGCAATGCACGTAACTAGTCCATAAGCTATAAGTTTGTCCAACTTGGTATGATATATGTGCAATTATGTATAATGCATATGACCAATACTGGTTCAACCTTTACACAATTAGTTCATTACTCTTGCTTTATTTGATTTCCACCTAAACATTGATAGAATCAGTTTATATTGATTTAGGGTGATTACAAATCGATTTGATAATCTAAATTGATCCCAATATAATCTAAATTATACCAGTCACGTGGTTCTAGACTAGTTAAATGAGGATTAAAGATCGATTCAGTTAAGTTATAGTAAATTGAAGACTGATTGATATTATTTGATATTAATGATGCTTGAAAGATAAATTAAGATGTTTCAATATATTATTTCATCCTGATATAGATATGACTAGCATGAGATGATTTTGTTTTCTTGCCAAAGGATAATTTTCTTCATAGATTAACGAGCCATCAAACGTAACGACTGAATGGTTCCTCTATGCCAGAAACATGTCTCTACGTTGGGCAAATGAGAAACACCACTTATCCATTATTACAAGTACGATATGGATTTATCTTCATTCGAGTGCTCCTTGAGTATTTAATATACACCAGTAGGATAATTAACTTTTGGATATATACTTATTTTATAATTGATTTATAAGGGTTTATATTAATGAAAATTTTTATTATTTTATTTTTATTTTTTGAAATTTTTTAATAGTACTAAATCAAATTTTAATAGAGTAGACTTTTCTCTATCACTAGGTATAATCGATTGAATTTTATTTTTAAGTTTTTAGTACTATATTTCTCAATAAAGTTTATAACTATCTATTTACTTTTATTTTGATAAATAATTAACTTATAATATATATTTATAATATATATATAAAGTAAAAAATATTTATTTATTTGACTATAGGATAATGTGATAATGTGGGAAAAAAAAATTCCAACACATGACAAAAACTATCCTACAATTAGTACATATGTTCTTTCAACTTTTTATCCAATACCGAATACAGTGTTACAATATAATATTAATATTGGCAGCTTGTTCGCAATCGTCAACCCTTCCAAGCATTTATATCGAGTCCATGGAGTATTTCTTATTTTGCATCTACTTCCCAATTTCTCATGGAGTATTACTCTCGCTTAACTTCGGAAGACTTCCAGCCAGCTCAAAATTTGTCTTACTGTTTTTGCCAAACAGTGATAATACAAATAGTTAAAAATGAGACTAATTTTTTCATGCAAATAATAAGGCAAACCACAAAAGCATGTTTTACAAAGATCAGCTGAAATTGTGGTATTTCTAAAGGAGCTGCAGTTAAAAAATCCAACATGAATAAGCTACCAAGCCAGACATTATGAGAGATGAATGAAAGATACTTTAACAGGAATACCAAATTTCAGTTCAACGTAGACTTTTCTGGCGCTTGATCCAAATTTTAGGGTCCCATGAAATCAGTAAAATCTTGTAATTCAATATTTGAGTACAATTGATACAATGAGGCCTCTACAAAACCTTGGCCATCATAATGTGACATAATACATATTTCTAAAAAGGATTTGGGTGAGAATTTCCTATGAAACCTGTTCGAGGACCACAGCTTTTTTTTATCATCGCGCCTTGAATTCACATGAAAAAGCAAGTTAGTTGATGGTTAGAGAAGCACAGCAAATTGCATCAAAATCATTATGTGTTGGAGATGAAGCAGCCGACATAACCCAAACCAACTACCAAAAATGCAACAGCCTGGAGATAGATGTAAACATAAAAGGAATTCTTTCCGTAGGCAAGATTGTAGCTTGCACAAAGAAAGAGGAAGACAGCAAATCCAATTTCTGGTAAGTGTATTCTGAGGAAAGGAAACAAAGACTATCAATAACACTGATATTAGCTATATGTAAACCAGAAGTGCACGTTAAACAAGCTTTTGTTGTTACCTCTCCCTTAGCCCGGACGATGGCTTTTCAAGTATCGGGATTTTAGTTTTTTCCAGGAGAGTATCTCCCAACTTCTCAGTCACGACCCACTCATTTACACTTCCTGCCTCAAATAGACCAATCATTGTTGCTTTCATCCGGTGCATAGACATGACATTCTCAAACAGAATCCAGAATGGCATAAGATGTATAGAGCTGTGACAAGCATATAAATTTGAGTAGTTAGGAAAGCATGATAGTATTTGAATGGCTATATTTACGTAAGTCGAATGATGTTTTCCAAAAGCAACTAATGGAGACTAGTTAATGAGAAGAAAAACAAGAATGACAGGCAAGGATCTGAAGAAATTTAAACAGTATCTAACCGAGGATTTCTTATGGCATTCAAAAGAGTAATTGTTGTTGGAATGTACACAACTCCCCATGTTGGGATGATGACTTCTGGAACCAGAACAGATGTTGGGATCACAATACAATATAGAAAGAAGGTGACTGTGTGGGCCACAATCTTCCTCACAAAGAAAAAACTGTAGATCAGATAACACTTCTTCCAAAATGATACCTCCTGCATGACATAAAGGAAAACGTTAGATAGAGAGTGCACGCTTCCATAATGGTTCTCTTACACTGCCTCAAATAAGTACTACCTTGGCCATTGAAATTTCAACTATGATTTTTCGGAATAAGTGTGCAGCTCCACAAGTCCAACGATGCTGCTGGTGCCGGTATGCCTTAAGAGTACTTGGCAATTCACTTTTGACCTATAATAGATTGAAGAATCAACAAGTTATCCTGTAGTCAGGATCTCATCATGGTAAGCATACTTGAGATGATTTTCAACATAACAAATGTTTTGTTTAAAGGTAAGATTGGATTAAAGGAAGCTCATTTATGGCCATCCTGGTACAACAATGAGTGATATCCCAAGTAGGAACTTCTGAAACCATCTTATTTCAACAACAATAGCAACAATAGGCTACCATTAAAAGCTTCATGTAGTAAACTAGGAGGCCTTTGTTGGTCTCATTTTTTTATCTGGTTGTAGATGATTTTGTGAAGCACTTTATGCAGGCATGAATACATCAATGTTTACAATCCAGAAAAGTTCATTTAAATTTTCTGCAGCATAGATAAGATCTGAATGGCCATTAAAGGTGACCGCTGAATACCTTTAGATCACCCACATACAATAGTTTCCAGCCTTTCAGACTTGCTCGTACGGCCAAGTCCATGTCCTCTACAGTGGTTCTATCTTTCCAACCTCCAACTTCATTAATTGCTGATATTCGCCAAACACCAGCAGTCCCTATCAAATTGTGTTTTAATGAACATGAGAATGAAAACAAGGTTGTGCTACTGCCTTTTAGAAAAGTGAAACAAATACTAGCTAATAGTACTTTTTTATTAGAATGAATAACTTCCCTTGATATACACTAGCCAGAAAATTTAGAATCAAACTCGTGGTGTAATTTAAATTGATAAATAGATTGAAGAGAATCTTTAGGATGATGACATGACAATTGATATTTTTGGTGTCATGGGTTTATGTGCTTTACCATTGAAGCCAAAGAATGCAAATGTGGATGATCCTGCTTCTTGCTCCACTTTAAAGTGGTAATCCAAGGTCATCTTTTGTATCCTTGTCATAAGACAGTCACTGAAATTCACTGCAAAATCGTCCATGAAATGCCACGTCAGCAACTTCCTGTCATTATGGAAGAGGACATATCAGAATAAATAGACTTATATTTTCTAATAGAAAGTTTTAATTTAAAGCATAGAATTCCAGCTTATCATCTGAAATAATCGCAGCTTTTTTCTTTTCTGTTATATCAAATTTTGTTTTCACTTTTTTGCTCTTTGATAGGCAGCTCAGTTTTTTATAATGATTTTTTCCAATCCTGTTTATCTGGCTACCAGTGTTAACACCGATTGTCCACATAAGGACTACACTCTATGCTCAATTAAATAATCAGCTTCTTGCTAAACTCAAATGAGTGGAAAAAGAAAAATAATAGTGTCATCAAGCAGATAATATCATCCTTCAGTATGAACAGCCTATAAGTTTGCCAAATATATACGACTTTGTTATATATAAATAGCTTAAGTTTCTTATCTGTGCTAATCACTGACAATCTAAAACCAAATAGCATTTTATAAGTTATTTTTTATCTTAATTGGATTCTGTATGGTATAAGATATATCATCACACATTTCAGATATTTATAGCATCTAAAAAATGAAAGAATCAACTTAGGTAAAATGAACTAGCCACGTGTTAAACAACTATTTTTCCAACATTAGCAAAGATTGCCAATCTTTCATTGTAGTTAAAAAAACCTGAACAGATAACTTCTAGATAATGATACTTCTACTGTAATAAAGTAGAAAACAATCCAAGACATGGACTTTAAGAGCTTACATGCTTGTCTATTTACGTAAATCTCTTGATCTAATTAGGAATGTCAACTGGCTTAGAATAATCCATTAAATAACATAATATTAATGGAAAAACAATCAAATAGACCTAATATGTGGTGTTTCCGCTGCCCACTTCATTACTCTACTAAACTGGTAAAGGAGACTCAAGGGCTCATCACAGGAACCGTGCAAGGTAGTGATAGTATCACTCTTGTCTATCAATCGCAACCTTGCTTCAGTCCCCTTCTACTTGAAATGATCAAACACCCCATGTGGGATCCCTTGTTCGACTTGGGGGAGGTCTTCTAGGCTATATCATATGCTGTCAACGCATCCATGCTTCTACGGATATGGATTAAACTTCTTTTGACTGAATTTGCTTGAATCTAGTACAGATTTGACTATACAAACCAAGGTTGATCTAAAGGAGCAAATTTGCTGGAAGTATCTTCTACCTTGTCTTCTAGCCCAATTTTATATAGGAACCATTCATTTTGACCAGTAAAATATCTAGACTGAATGTGCCGAGTTACCCAAGGTGAATACATCTAAAAATATGTGAAATAAATTAAAATTGTTGAAAGCCCTAGAACGTAAAACAACCTTTTATTTAAATACTGTTAGGACTCTAGCTT